AAACTTGTTTTAAGTGCAATGATGCCTCAGTACAAAATGTTAATCTTTTACCAGACTCTAATCTCAAGCTACTAAATCTAACCTCTGCTGTCAACGTTACTCATAACCTTGAAGGTGGACTGTCTGTACTCAACTAATCTATATTTTCAAACCTTGAACCGTCCCTTTATATGTAAATTAAATAAATTATTTGCAAAGTATAATGTATTATATTCATATTTGCATTTATCATGTGCATAAAATATATAGGATTAGCATGTGTATAAAATATATAGGATTAGCATGTGTATAAAATATATCGGATTAGCATGTGCATAAAATATATAGGATTAGCATGTGCATTTTCCTTTACAGTCCCTTTAAGTTGGATTTAAAAGTGTCATGAAATATTAAAAGGAGATAAACTCGTTCTTTTCTTTCCTGTATTCCTACCTGGGTAGATTAAGACCTTGGGCCAGCTGGACAGGATCAATCTCCTCCCAAAGATAGGTAATGTCGTCGGTGGTGTAACCATCTAGACAGAGACAGTTATAAAAATATTAAAAACTTAGCCCCCCCCCCCTTACTCCGGCCCCCTTCCACATTTCTTATAAATATTTTTTTTTATTAATGATTAGTATTTTAAACCTTGAAGCTTGGCAAAAATTGGGAAAATTTTTAAGTACTATAGTTTCTATTGCTCGTCATGGGGGGTCAAAATTGAAAAGTAAATTTTAAAAAATCAACGCATATGTAGATTGTATATTTTTGTATCACATGGTTTTATTTTCAAACCATTTTCAAGGTTTTAGCAAAACTATAATTAAATTTATTTTATTAATTTCCTTTATTTCTTTTGTTATATAGTATTATAAAATTATTATGTTTTAATTATCAAGCTAAATCATTATAAATGAATAACTGACAATTATCTTTTAAATTTTGTTATTAATTTTTTCCTTACTTTAGAAAAAACACGTGCAACTGCATTGCTTTATAAATAGCATTTACTGTTCTATTTACAGTAAGAGCAATATAACATTAAATTTTGCTTCCTGAAAAGTAAATTGTCAGTGAGGGTCATAAATGTCATAAATGTCATAAATGTCATAAATGTGTAATTTAGGGGCGAAAATAACAATTTGCAGCTTTGAAATCTTTATAGCCATAGCTTCAAAAAAGTTGTTTGAATCTGGCATAATATTCCGAGGTCTGGCCAGGCAACAATAGAAATACGGCCTGCAGTCTCTTTAATCTATGAATAATTCTAAACATAGGACAGACAGAGCCAAGGATATTCTAAACACAGAACAGAGTCAAGGATGTCTAAAACATAGGATAGAGTCAAAGATATTCCAAACGTAGGACAGAATACCAGGACAAGATATTCTTTAATGCGAAAAACTCTACTTCCCAAAATAAATCTAAGTCTGCGCTCCCTTTAAAAGAAATACCAATTCTCGGCCGTGGCTGCATCATATAAATATTGCCCGGTTGCAAAGCTGATTCTCGGGGGAAGGAAAACTTGTTAAAAATTAAGGAATGAAGAAATTAGTATTCTCCTTTCATCTCTTCAAGTTTACAAGAGGTCTAGGATTCAAAACTTTTCTTTCCAAATTACGTTTAAAACTTTTTTGGTTTTATTTTGAAATCATTTTTTATCGTGAACTTTATTTACAATGATTAATAATAATGATGATAAAAATAATAATAATATAATAATGATAATGATTAATAATGATAATGATTAATAAATATAATGATAATAATGATAATGATAATAATAATAATATTAATAATAATAACTATACTACTACTACCACTAATAATAATAACAATAATACAAACGATACTAACCTGATACTGTAAAGTACCTCACCATTAGGAAAAATTCTAATATAAACGTTATTAACGAGAATATTATGAAAGTGTCCGACCTTCTCGTTTCTGAAAAACGTATCTGGCATCCAGACCTAAATGATAATGGACACTATCTTAAAGGGACTGTAAGCGTAATTTCGAGGAAACCTCCATGCAAATATGGCAATACCCGATTCACATTGGTACCCTTTAAAGCTTTGTCTGATCAAAAATGAATGAGATATCAATGTTTATGATTTTGCAAACTAAAAATTTGCAATTGTGGTTTCTCTACAAAACTACAGGATGACATATAGTAATTATCAGAATTAAACACAAAGAAAAACGACAATATCTTCCATGTTATTGATCAGATTAAGGTTTCAAGGGTACCGTTGTGTAATATTGGGCATTGCCATCTCTACATGGAGATTCACTTGAAATTACGCTCACAGTCCCTGGGCTGTGTTTTATTCAGTTTCTTTAATTTTAATTCAACAATGTATAAAAAAAAAGTATAAAGAAGCAAAAACGGTACATTTTTGTTTGAGTGGTGAAATTGCGAACAAAAGTGACAGCTTCCTATAGAAAGGACCGAAAATTTACTAATAAAATCATGATATCTTACTTTTTTATTTTTTTTGGTCTTAAATCTTCGAAGGTATTGTAAAAAAGTACCTATAAGTACCTAATGTCTTTTTTTCTTAAAAATACAAAATCAACAAATGTTTGCAAAATGTTTGTAAAATGTTTGCAAAATGTTTGCAAAATGTTTGCAAAATGTTTGTAAAATGTTTGCACATAATGCGATATTCTATATAGAGAGTTGTAACTGTTGCCTGGTATTGATTAGCGTGATTAATATTATTCAAACTAAATCATATAAAACCTATTCCAAGAATTATTCTATGTTGATTAAATTATATGAGTTTTAAGAATTCATTGATCAAATATTTAGTTTAGACGATTAAAGCCTGATTTCGTTCATAACTTAATAATTTATTGTTCAAAAAATAATTAATAAAAATTTAATATTAGTTTTTGTAAAAGATAATCGATCTATCATAGAGCTAAAACATGGTGAACAATAAATTTTTAGAAAAGGGGCTAGGGGGGAAAATCAGAAAAAATTTGAAAAATGTAAAATTTCTTTGTTGATTATTACAAGACACATTTTATCTGATTTTTCTTTAAATGGATTTTCGTTGTAATATCAAGAGACTTTAATATTAAAGGGTTAACGGCAAACTCACAACGATACCGTTTACACTTGTATCTGATAATTAATAGTAATAATTATAATATGAGAGTCATCATCATTTTTCTGGCGTGGGAAATTTCCTCCATTATTATTTAGTAGTATATCCGGAAGTCAATTTTATATACAGGGTGTCCCAACAAACGTGGAAAATCAGAGACGAATTGGATATCGTCTTTGTTATGAATTGGCATTGTAATACCTAATTTCAAAAGCCATAATATTATTATGTCTGCTAGAGTTTATTTTATGAAAAGGGTTAAAGACTGCAAAGATGTGTCTATAATGTCTCCGCAAGATGAACAGTGAAGACGGACAAGGTTACTCTGTTTGTATACTGCAATTTTCTTGTATTACTAATGTATGCGGTCAAAACATAAACAAACAAAATGTGAACATAAAGCAGACGAAACTCTTACAGATTACAGCTTTATCAGTAGGTATCACTTTACTAAATCAAAGAATTATTTATAAAGATGATATCGAATTCGTCACTGAATTCCCATGTTTATTGGGACACCCTGTAGAATCCACAGCAATCAATGAAAGATAAAAACTAGGATAGATCCGTTGTTCTTGATTAGACGAAGGGATGAGAAAAGGTTGATCGGGTACCGTTGTGAATAAGACATGTCACTCTAAAAATATAGGTTCACTTGAAATATCACCTACAGTTCCTTTACAAGGCCGGGTAAAAAAGAACCATAATGTGGGGGTGGGGGGGTAAGTCTCTTAATTCCCAAACCCGTATCGGCTTTATGCTTTATTCTTGGTTTGCGTGATAGTACAATGGATACATGGATAAACTGAATAAAAAACAAATTGAAAAGAAACGTTTCTTTTCATACTTTTTACAACCTGATAAAAGATTAATGATTTTATTCTTTGTCTGCGGGATTTTGCATGACTTGTCAGATCTTTGAAAATGGAAGCTTTCGAACTAACTTTAACTTAAGAAGCAAGATAACATTAAATTTAACTTCATGTTTCTTGTAATAAAAATATTCAAAAGTTTCTGAAAACACTAAAAATTAAATTTCAACATTTTTTTTTTTGGTTTGTTTCAATAAAATGTGCACTTGACATCACATACGATTCACACCGGTACCCTTGAACGGTTTTTCTGACCAGTGATCGAATTTAAAGAATTTGAGCGGCGGTTTAAATTTAAGCTGCGGCTTAAATATGGTTGGTTCCACTTAAAATTGTATAAAATGTTTCAAGATTCAAGCCGGCGCTTAATTTAAACCGGGTTTTGGCAGATTTAAACCGCGGCTCAAATTCTTTAAACTCCATCTCAGGTGTCTATCATGTTTTTTTTTGAACTTGATAAATTTTAGTTTTGGTTTCTGCTTCGAAAAATGGAAAAAAAATAATAAGATTAAAACGACTATATCTGTAATATTATTTATTAAATTTTTAGAAATTACTGTAAACACTGGAAATTATGAAAATCTTCCAAATATAAATTCTTGGCAGATTTCAACATTTTCAAAATTTATTTCTGTTTTTGCTTGTTTTGATAAAGTGTTCCTGCATAAAAATCTAGAAAAATTGTTTTTATAAACATGAAACAATCATCTTTAAAAAAAAATTTTGATATAGAGTTTTTAAAAAGACAAGATATAATCTCGAAACTAATCAAAATCATGATGTGAAGAATGTGAATTTATCAAAACCTTCGAAAATATACTTGAAAATAAGCCAATCTGAAATTCTTGATACAGAATTCAAAAAAATATTGTTCTTACCTTTTTAGGATCAGTCAGTGTGAGATACTTTATTCTACCTAAACAAATTGCATTTTTTGCAAAATACAAATATTTAGACACTGCACTGTACAAAATAATTTGCCCAGTGTCCGAATTGAATGAATTAAAGCCGCGACTCAAATCACCAAAAACCGGTTTTAACTAAGCGCCAGCTTAAATTTTGATATACTTAATACAATTTTAAGTAGAACCAACCATATTTGAGCCGCAGTTTAAATTTAAGCCGCGGCTCAAATTCTTTTAATTCGGACTCTGGTTCTTTAAAGAATACAATTTAAGAATGTACTGCAAAATATAATTTTTATGAAACATTATGAGGTTATACTAGAAATTTACTCTTCAGAGACGACTGTTAGGAATTAACTTTGTCTTATGATTAAAACTATTGTTCCCTGCAGCTGTAAACTTTATCATTTCTTTTCCAGATGATTTAGTATTAGAAAATAAATAATATTTGGGTAGAAGATCCAAGCTCAACCCTGTGGACTATGTATCCTAATATTTAAGGTGTTTTATGTTGTCGTTAAAGTCTCATATTTTGTGGGTAACCCTGTATATAACCTGTACTATCGAAAAATTTGAGCCGAGGGTCAAACCATTTTTGACGAAAAGTAATTTGAACAGCAAACTCCTAAAAACAAAGGTTTTTAATTATCTCTTCCAAAGAAAGGAACTGATTATTCTTCTCCAATTTTCTAATCCCTTATCTTTGCAACCTGATGGTTATATATTTGGTTTGACTTGTGTTTTGTATCTGTTTATACATTTTGGTTTGACTTGTGTTATCTATCTGTTTATATATTTGGTTTGACTTGTGTCTTGTAACTGTTTATATATTTGGTTTGACTTGGGTTTTGTATCTGTTTATATATTTGGTTTGACTTGTGTTATCTATCTGTTTATATATTTGGTTTGACTTGTGTCTTGTAACTGTTTATATATTTGGTTTGACTTGTGTTTTGTATCTGTTTATATATTTGGTTTGACTTGTGTTATCTATCTGTTTATATATTTGGTTTGACTTGGGTTTTGTATCTGTTTATATATTTGGCTTGACTTGTGTTATCTATCTGTTTATATATTTGGTTTGACTTGTGTCTTGTAACTGTTTATATATTTGGTTTGACTTGGGTTTTGTATCTGTTTATATATTTGGTTTGACTTATGTTTTGTATCTGTTTATATATTTGGTTTGACTTGGGTTTTGTATCGAATAAACGTTGAAACGGTTGGACTGGGTTGGACTGGGTTGGACTGGGTTGGACTGGATTGGACTGGGTTGGACTGGATCGAGCTAAAATTTTCTGTGTAAACTCACATGATCTAAGTAAATGTTTATGGGTGGTTAAATGTGCGAAAGTTTGCGTGAAAATAAATTAATTTTAATAATCCAACTTCAACAGATGAATCCGCTGAATTTTGTTGCATGATGGAGTAGAATGAACAAATGTTGGCTTTAAAACAAACTAATTTCAACTGGTGCGAAGCGTCCTAATGGCTTAAAATCATTAGTGTATCTAATATCTATATATGGATGTTTGTTTGTCTGTTTGTATCCAATAAACGTCAAAACGGCTAAATAGACTGGCCCAAAATTATGTGTGGGAAGTGGGACCTCCAGGGAAGGATTTATGTATAATCAAAATCAATGAAAACTATTATAAAATATGCGAACTTTTTTTATTCGTATGTACAAAGAGAGAATGTTCATAATTAAAGTAGAAGATGGGCGGGCTAAAAGCTTAGAAGTATTATAAACTTCTCGGATGGATTTCAACAGAAAAACAAGAGGAAAAAGCTAAGAATCCAAACAGATAGTTTTCTCTTGTAAAATTTCCCTAACAAGGGACATTTCCAACTTTTAAGAAGTGATTTTTTTGTAAAAATTAATTTGTATTTTACATTTGGAGAGGTTAGTGCTTAAATAATGATATTATAAATGCATGAGAGGCAGAAATGGAAATTAATTTATTCCAGTTCCCGACCTAATTATAATAATAATAATATTAATGATAATAATGATAATGATAATAATCTAATTGTACAAAAAAAGAAACTAAAAGTAATTTCCTGGGAAAAGATTATAACAGTCACCTTTTCTTGTATTTTTCACTAAACGTTAAGGATAAAACTTCAGATACGACCGTACGAAATATATCTATACTTTTACATGTTGAAACAAGTAAATTTCATTTTGTTTGCCAAATTATCAAACAGACTTTATATAACAGCTGAAGATAGTAATAGTTCAAGATTTTTAGGTTGTCATTAAAACCTCATTCTTTATTTGTAACCAGCACTGTATATTGTTTCCCTTCTCTTTAAACTCCCCAATTCCACCCCAGGGGGGGAAGTATTAGAACTAAGGAGGTGAGGGGGGAAGTATTAGAACTAAGGAGGTGAGAGGGACTAGGGAGTATTATAACTAAGGAGATGAGGGGGGGGAAGTATTATAACTAAGGAGGTGAGGGTGGAAGTATTAGAACTAAGGAGGTGAGAGGGACTAGGAAGTATTATAACTAAGGAGGTGAGGGGGGAAGTATTATAACTAAGGAGGTGAGGGTGGAAGTAATAGAACTAAGGAGGTGAGGGTGGAAGTAATAGAACTAAGAAGGTGAGAAGGGAAGTATTGTAATTAAGGAGGTGATTGTGGAAGTAATAGAACTAAGGAGGTGAGGGTGGAAGTAATAGAACTAAGGAGATGAGGGGGAAGTATTATAACTAAGGAGTTGAGGAGGACTAGGGAGTATTAGAATTGAGGAGGTGAGGTGTTAGAACTAAGGAAGGGAGGGGGGTATTATAACTAACATTCTCATTCGTCTCTCTTTCTGAATTTCAATTCCCCCTGAAAATTACTCTACTCCCTCCCTTCCACCCTTCCTCTTCCACAATCAAGATTATTCTACTCCCTCCCTTCCACCCTTCCTCTTCCACAATCAAGATTATTATACTCTCCTAAACTCCTATAACCCTCCCCTCCCCCTCCTGGCTAAAGCAAATAAAAACCTGTATTCTAAGTATCCCCCAGGGATGTATTTGGCTTAAACTGGAGTATTGAATACCTCCGCTGAAACGAAAGGGAAGTGCTTTGTTTTACAAAATGGCGATTTAATTCATGCTGTATACTGCATGCGTATTTATATTAAAACTAGCTCAAGTTCCCGGCGTTGCCCGTGCAAAAATAAATATTGAATTTAAAATTTTGTATAAAAAAAATTCGGATTTTGAAAAAAATAATTTTATTTTAAAAAATTTGAATTTTGAATTTTGAAAAAAATTCAGCCAATTTGGTCCAGCCGTTTTGCCAGCTATATAGCTAACATATGTTAGCAAAAAAATTGTCTATCCCTCATTGTGCTCATCAAGTAACAAATATTTGTTTACAAATAAATCCATAATTTTTGTTGTAAAACATCAGTTTAACCATGTTTATTAACTGAAGAGGTGCAATCAGAAAAAAATCTGTATTAATGAATATTAAAACTGTGAAGCTGCTCTGATTATTGATTTATAATTATAGTTAAATACAAATATATATAAATGAGCGAGATCTTTATTTTATAGAGATATACTTTGCTTGTCTATTTGTTTGTTTGTCTGTTAGTTTTCATAGGACCTCACATGACCCAAGAGAATGTTTATGAAAGCTGAGAATTTAAAAATTTGTCTTATTATAATATTAATATAATCCGTTTTTGCTTTATATTGTATGAAGAGAAAATTATCAAAGATAGAGCAACAATTTATCGTTGAAATAGAAGATGGGCGCAACGCGACCTAAAATCCTAGTATTGATATATTGCGTTATTTATTTAGAAATTGGAGTCACAGTGAGCTGTTTCGTAACAATCTATGAAAATTTTCCTATTACTTCTTTAACAACAAAAGCTAAAAACTAGTGCTTTGAAGTTCAAATTTTACAACAAAAAAGCTTTTTTCAACAACAAAACTTGTAGGAGATAATTTGAAAACTTTAAATTGTTGCAATAATAAGGTTTTATTTCCTTACAGGCTACTATTTACACTAAGAATTTTAATCCTAATAAACAGCTGATTATTTCAAATTTTGGAATAAAGTATTAGAATTGTTGTAATATAATGTTCCACGAAATATAGTATCATTCAAATCTACGTCGCGTAAAAAGTTTTTTTTTTGCCGGAATATATTCGATGCAATATTTGGAAACAAAAACATCTAATTAATACATATTTTTGTCAATTGCTATGCATGTGAACTTTATTCACGTAAAAACATTTTAAAACAGCTCCTTATATATTTTTGATAATTGCAAAAAAAATCATCAATTTTATTTTTTCAAGAAATTTGAATTTTTGATGAAAATTTAACTTTGAAAAAATCTGAACATTTTTTTCAAAAAAGTTCCAAGTTGTCCCACCCTTAATTTAACTCAGTTTTAAAATCCATCAAATTTATAAATTTATTGTATTTTCCGAGAATCCATTTACAGAGAAACTGTTTCTTATCACGAAAATGAAATTCTGAAAACAAATTAATTAAAAAAGATAATTTTACCATTTTATAATCGTTGATATCATTGATAGTTCGTAGGTAAATGTTCACATTAACAGCTGTCGACCCAAAAGGATCTAAATTATGAACAAATTATCGACATTATCTGAAATGGTGATTATCTAAAAAGGTGTTATAGTGTTTAAAATGATTTAAAATGACGATAAAATTATTCAATGTTGAAAAAATTACTTAAATAGTATATGCTGATATAGTTATTAAAAAAAATTAAAATGATGAAATACGTGTAAAAATGATCTTAAATGGTAAAAATATATCAAACGTTATTAAATAATTAAAAAGTGGTTATCAATTTTATCTGAAATAATGAAAAAATATCCAAAAATATTATAAAATTAAATAGTCATTTGAAAAATGAAAAAGTTATCAAAAAAATTCGAAACTTCAATTTTAATTGATGTAAAATCTCCCATGAAACAATACCTGTTATATTAGTTGTTTTGTTTAGAGCTTGTGGCCGGATTCTGGCATCGTAAATAAACCCTTTCTTATCCCTAAATATGAAAATTTATATTAAAATTGAAAAATGTAGCATTCTACCTCTAAGAAAATAATAAGTAAAAGAAATCTAAATATATG